CTTTTAATTATTCTAAGTTTCTAATGAATCAAGTTCTACGAGAGAGAAACTTGACGACGACAAATTATCCATTTCATTTAATTTCAAAGTTTACATTAATGGATGTTTAATGAGAATCATCTGCTTAATTGTAAATAAAGTGAAATGCAAATGTTATAAACTAAAAATACAAAATAAAGGACACTTTTCTTCGACATTTCTACCAAGGAAAAGTCGCTCTCACAGTGCGTGATTCTTACAAAAAGGATTCTTGAAATATATTGGTTGGACCTGAAACACTTCGTGTACTTAAAAATTCAAGAATGTATGGGTAAGAAAACTCGTTTGACAAGATAACGGATCCAGCAGTTCTACTGTTAAAATCGATTCTCCAGCAAATACAGGCTATTACACTGCAGCATATAAGGTGACATAGTTTCATGTTTCATACCGACTGCACGGAAGACAGACTTGTTCAAATTCTACATTATTAGCATGGCGACGTATACATTATTTAAATGAGATAACTAGTTTTTTCACTTCTATTTAAAACTTTTTTTTATCCGATCTTTCATAAAAACTAGTTTTTACCCTTATTCATTCCCCTATATATGTTAAAAATTTATAACATACATATCACAATATACGCAACTTCATCAATATATATTTTCAAGGATAAATTTTGCAAGAATTTCATTATTATAGAAGTTATCGTGTTAATATTAATATAATATAAATAATAAAGTTAATATTAATATAAAGGGCTATTAATCGGTTATGTACTTTAATACAATTTTAAATTATTTTAAAAATATTTTCTTTCATTTAAAAATATTTTCTTTAACATTGGTAAAAAAGGAATTAAAATTTAAATTTAATGCATATATTATGTAAGTAATTGGATATATATTTATTTATTTGCATTATTGCAAAATAGATCACGATTCTTGGTACAGTAGTATTTTCAAACATTTATCAAATATAAATATAAATAAATAAAAGTGACCAAAAATAAAATTTTTAATAATACGTTATAAATTCGCTCTAAAGTGTTTTACATTATTTTATATAAAAAAGCATAGTGCTATTAGAAAGATTCAATTAACTGATCTCATGAAAAAGGAAATGTTTTCATGTTTTGTTGCAAGTGATAGCTTGCATAAAAAACATGAATATTCGCCTGTAATCTTTTTTTAAACTGTCTAAAAAATTGTTGGATTGTTAGGCTTAATATCCTATATAATGTTATATAACTTTTTATCATTCGTTTGAAGCGTATATGTGTTGATTTATGATTAACGCAGTTAGATTTGATTATGTTGAGCTAGGTCTAGTCATAGGTGATAAAGTTTAGTTTGTACGAAAATTTGTAAATTTATGTGTAATAGTAGAGGAGAAGGTAGAATTATAGTAGCTCTTATAGATATAATAGCTACTATAATATTACTCTCTTAATATTTCCTTTTGAACCTGTCAACAGGCACAATAGCTGTCATATAATTGTACATTAGGTCATCCTGAACAAAAAAGTCCTTTGCCATTTTATTTGTTAAGATATGCAAAGAAGTATGCAAATTTTCAAATTATCAATTAAAAGAGCCTCTAGATATAGTAATTCTCAATTATTAAAAATTTAATAACTATTGCGATTTTTGCAAAATGCTACTTGACTTTTCTTCTGAGGTTGATCTGATTAATCTTCGCAATTTTTTCATTTCCGAAAGATCCCGGACGCTCTGAATACTTTGGAGTATTTTGATCGTCATTTAACATTTTATTCAGCTGTACATGACAAGGTTATAACAATTTGCTAATAGAACAACTTTCTAAACATGCTGATAACATGACCTCTTTCTTGAAATTTTCGTATCGAAGTGATCCTGATAACTTGATTACACACTCTACTGCTCTACTGCTAATCTACAGTTTATGTTACATGTACTGTACGTTTCTCAGTACTAACAGCACCTTAAATGTGAGAAAGACGTCCATTCTGTAAAAACTCTACAAGTACTAAAACTGTAAAAGCTCTAAAAGTTTATTTCATATAAATATATAATGAAACATTATATCTCTTTCAACAAAACCTCTTTTTTTATTTATTTTACTAACATTATTACTCCTATTTCTCTTCAACTCTATGTACTGTCGCTATATTTTTACAAGTAACATCTCAAATAATAAACATTACATAATTTTGAGTCTACAAGCGATTAAACAATATTTTGACAAATATATAATCGTTAAGTTTTTAATTTAATTAAAATATTGTTTATTAACAAAGTTAATATATAAAATACTAAATAGGGAGCCATAATACCACTTTTGTATCTATAATTACAAATCTAGTTTAACGCGAAAAAGACCAATGTGAAACAATAATTTTTAAGTATTTTCTCACAGAAACCTTAGGCAATCCCTTCTTTTTTTTTTAAAATTTGTATATATATATATATATATCTTTTTATAATTTATTTTGTTAATTATTATAACGAAAGACTCTGTTTCTAAGTGCAATATTTTCAAACATTTTCAATATTTCTAAAAAACATATGAGTGCTCATAATATCACTGATGGTGTGCGATGATTCATGCTTATAACTTAAAATGATCGTAAAACACTCGAAATATCTTAAGACACACTGGGATATAGCAGAAAACAAAATATGAATAAGTAAAACTTGTACAAACATACTAATCAAATATTCGGTGAGTGCAAAAATTTTGATGGGCTCTGAAAGACTAATTCAGTTTTATGGCAGCGCTTATAAATAGATATAGACGTATAATGTATGAAAGGTGATAGAAAACAATAGCGATTATTTGATAGAATGCATAAATCGTTTTTAATAAAAATACATAGTCCACATTTTTCTGAATAAAATCATAAAATCCATCGAAACTTTTACACTCACCTAATATTATTCTACCTCCTACATCAAACAAATCTGTACACGAAACCGAGAGATAATTATTTTTCCAATTATTACCATTCGCCAGATTGTGAGAACATTAAAATATCGATACTCTTACCCGAATATTACAGCATATCAGCAAGTTTGATGGTAATAGTATCGTATTTATCATTGTTGATTTATCTTCGCTGTTGCTGATAACGCGATTTCCTTAGAACGGATGATACATTCGTTGTTCTGAGAATCTCACTGAAGCTTAAGAGTGCAAACTAGTGCAAATTAAAACCTCGAATATTTGGAATGCTTTTTAAAAAAGGTATGTACTGCTGTAACATATAATGAAGATAAAAATTTATCCATATTTGATCAAATACAGTTTATAATCTATTGCAAGAAGTTGAATAATATTCTTTCTTTTAACTACGTTTCATACAATTGGTTATGATATACATCTTTGTTTAAACTTCAGCTATGAAGTCCATAACAAAACTGATTGGAAATTGATTTGTTATGATGATCTTATTTCGTGCCTGCTTATTGTAGAACTGGAACTAGAAGTGCATCTATATATATATGTATTACTTTTCGTTATACGTTATAATAATTTTTTCAAATTAATTAGTATAACCAGTAAGAATAAAGAACAGTAAGAATAAATAATAATCCTCTTGACAAAAGATTAAATAATCTGTATACAAAAGGAAATTCATATTAAAATCAATAAGATTTGCATTATACATACAACATATAATCTCTCTAACTTTAAGAATGTGTTTATATTTATCTCTTATTAATATTTTGTTATCTCGTATTAATATTTTTCTCTTAATCTTAGAGAAATTCTCTTGATTGAGGTCAAATATAAGAATAAAATCCTCTAAGATCCAAATGATTCCACTTGTTCTGAAATTACTTTTTTTTGGGTGAAATATTCCAACGTCTGAATATTCGAAACTCTGAGGACTCAAACATACGTCATATAATCGAGAATAAGCGGGCTTTCAAAACGGTTTGAACACTTTTCCATCGTTTGAGACACGCCGGTGCTCCAATGAGAGAATTTGCCTCGAGAACATTTCTAGAAATCAAGTCCTCTCGTTGAAAATCCGTTGTTTCGAATTGCTATTCCAAAAAAAAAATAAATAAATGTTCAGACTGTTTTGAAACCGGAAACATAATGTAAAGCGTACACTGTGTCTTCAAATAATTTCGAGTGCGCAAAATGAATTCCATTAAGAATTTCAATCTTTCGAACTCTCGAATTCAAATTGCTTGAAGCTTCGTGCTCTCTCTTGAATTAAACCTTCAAGTATGCCAAAATAGCACAATGTATTTCGTATGTATCGTACTACGATTTTGGTGTCAAGTAATCCGGAGTGTACAAAATTAGTTCTACCAAGAGTCTCGATTTCTCTTTCGGATCTGCGAAGCTGAATCATTTAAATCTCCGAGCTGTCCCCAGCGTTCAGTCACACCGAAGCTCCGAACAAAACAGCACTATCATTAAAGCCTGATCTACAATGTGTCTCTCTACTTCCTGTTTCTTGTTTTTTATATTTTTCCGGTTTGAGACGTGAAATTTAAGGCTCGATCGCACCGACATTATTTCTTCCTTTTAAGCGAGACTAAAACCCAAGTGTCTTTTATCTCTCCTTCCAAATAAATAAAGACAGGCACACCGGTTTTAGCCTTCTCGTTTAAAAAGCAAAATAATGTCGGTGCAGCCGGAGGCAAAAAAGGGATAAAAAAAAAGCGAGAAATAAAAGATTGTAAATAAAGCTTAACAAGTACGAGCGAGAGATCTGCTCGAGACAGACGAAGCGAAGAGCGGTCTCTCGCGTGCTCCTAATTCGTGCATGCGGATATTGTAATGTAACGGTCCGTGTCACCATGTGACGCTCACGAATGAATGAAGAAGCTGCGGGCGAGCGAGTGAGCGAGCGACCGGACGCGCGATGTATGACACAAGGCGCGCGAGGAAACGAGGAGATTGCAGCGTACGCTGCACGTCCAGCGTGATCGAGACGAAGTGACGAGCGCGAGTAACGGCTCACGGTACTCTCTCTCTCTCTCGCCGGCTCGTTGCACGCGCGTACGCCTACTTACGTGCACATGCCCGTTACTCAGCTTGTAACCGTTCATCCTGCCGGCGTCGTCGGCACCGCGAAAAGGGGAGGTTAAGCCGTTCTGCAGGGACGACGGCGGCGGCCTTGCTTTCTTTTCCTCCTGCTGATGATCGGCAATCGACGCCTCCTCGCCGCGAGTTGCCTTCAGGGCGCGTATTCTCGTGGTCGTGGTCGCCATCGTCGCGTCGGTTGTCCTTCTCGCCGAGCCCGTACCGATTGTCACATACACACGCGACGACACCACTCCGGCACCCCGACACGCAGCCCGATCGCACAAACGTTCACAAGCTGTGCGTACGACGCTGTGCCGAGACGTCTGACCCACGGAGCAGGCCGGGTTAGCCGTGACACGTTCGCTTCGATTCGCGAGCAGCCGCGAACGACAAGAGACGGGTGAGCCGTGAACGTTGCGACGCGCCCGCGTTTATTCGCAACCCCCACCACCACCACGCCACTCAACCCCACCGCCGCCTCGCGAGATATATCGCTCGCGCTGGCCGCACCGCTGCCGCACGGTCGCTGTACTACGCTGACGCGCGTTGCCAACCGACGACGCATGCGCATGCGCATGCGGTCGTGCCGGGCTTTTCACGCTACCCCGGCCGGTGGTAGTACTCGTTTCGCGCGTCTGCGGCGCCCTATGACCGCGACCTCAGCCGGCCAAGCTCGGCGACGAACCCCGAACACTGCAACACGCGCGATCCGCGTTGTTCTGCGTTGCGCGCTACGTCGCACACGGCGAGGCCTCTCTTCCTCTTGCTCGCTTGCCTTTCCCTCTCGACGAATTCTCCCGCTGAAAACAGGTCAGACGTTAACCCTCTCTTTTCCTCCTCCGCCTCCTATTCGTTGCCGCGCGCCCTTATCGCATGTCTTTTTTTCCTCGCGCGTTTATACGACAAGTCGGGGCGGGATCGCTCGATCGACGACGGCTTTAGATACACGACAAGGGTATCGATCACAATTCTAAGATATCGAGTCTTTCGTTGGTCTTCGCGGCTGTCGGATGCGCTTCTCACCTTCGGTGGCTCAACGAGAGACTGCGTGCAATTTTTGGTGGTCGGGGGACTACGTTCTCTTGCGTCGCCCCTGTTGTTATTTTAAAGCTAATTTACATTTATCTGTCAACAAAGGGTACGTTCCGTTTCACGCATATGCGCGCATTTATCTATAGTTTATGTCACGTATACTATAAAAAATGCGCGCATATGCGTGAAACGGAACACACCCTTAAAGAGTGGCTTTGGGACGGAAGTTCTAGGAACACGTAGAGCCATATTGAGAGCACTTTTATCAAACTAATCGATTTAGTAACCTTGCCAGACTCCGACTAAAGTTGCTGAGATTTAAGTTGCCTCGTTTTCTATTTCTTTTTACAATAGTTTCTGTTGGAATTCTGTAAGGTTGCTAAATCAAATAGTTTAAACCCGAGCTTGGTAAAAATAGTCCTGAGAGAGAGAGAGAGAGAGAGAGAGAGAGAAAGAGAGAGAGAGAGAGGGAAAGAGAGAAAAAGTTGATGTATCAGGTTGTCGTCGTCATCGCGAATGAAAATGGTCGATTCGCACAGAGTGGAAAAATCAGCCATTTTAGCGCTCTCAGTACGATCGAATGGACTTGCGACGGCACTGAATTGCATCATTCTCGGAATAAAAGGAATGTGCCGCACGGAGATTGTAAGGAGAGACATGAAAAAAAAACTATTCTAGAAAAAAAAGGAAAGAGAGCACGGAACGTGTGAGGAAAACAGACGAACCTAACGCAGCCTTCGCTCCAATGTAATGTCAAAGTATAAATAGCTGTTTTGTATAAAGTCTGTTTTGTAACTTTAAACGAGAGTATCGTAATCTTTATATTGTTATGGCGCGGCTACAATATGTAGTGGAGCAATTATGCGCAAAGACAGCATAACGAGATAACGATATTGTCGTAGAAAGTTACAAAATAGTGCTACTGCGGCGGTACACCGCATTGGCAATATTTATCGACATATACAGGGTGTCCGGGATCTTTCGGGAACGAAAAATTGTAAAGATTAATCAGATCAAACTGAGAAGAAAAGTTAAGTACGTATTTTGCAAAGATCATAATAGTTATTAAGTTATTAATGTTTGAAAATGACTACATTTAGAGGCTCTTTTAATTGATAATTTGAAAATTTGCATACTTATTCGCAAAATGACAAAGGACTTTTTTGTTCACAATGACTTAATCTAGAATTATATGACGGTTATTGTGACTAGCGATAGATATTGAACTTTGAACCCTGAATCTTGAACCTTTTGCTAGACACAATAGCGACAGATTCAAGATTCATATAATTGTAGATTGGGTCATCCTGAACAAAAAAGTTCTTTACCATTTTGCAAATAAGTACGCAAATTTTCAAGTTATCTATTAAAAAAGCTTCTAGATATGATCATTTCCAATTATTAATAACTATTGCGATTTTTGCAAAATGATACTTGACTTTTCTTCTCCGTTCCGATTAATCTTCACAATTTTTCGTTTCCAAAAGATCCCGGACACCTTGTATATATAAAGTAACATGAATATCTATAAATATACGAGTATCCATAAATAATGATATAAAATAAATTATCCCAGCAAACGCAATGTAACATGCCTGTCAGTCAATTGTAATTTCCTGTTCAATATATATGTTATATGATCGCTACATTGTTGAGTAAGAAATTACAATTAACAGATATGTTACATGTTACATTGTGTTCATTGAGCGGAAAATTGTCAGCGGAATACCACAGAGTTCCCGCTTATCTCGAGTACACGGAATCTTATCAATCTGCCGATGTAGTAACTATAAGCGCGACATTTGTCGACGGCTTAGGGTAACAATAAACTCAATATGTTGCGTAATAAGCGTAACCGCGATACTTCTCAATGGTTCAGGATAACGCTAATTGCAAGCGCGGCATATTGTGCTTATGACACATCGTAGTCGAGATACGAGATCGTAGTAGTCAGCGAGCGCGATATATGTATGCTGCAAATTTACAGACCGACCCCTTTCGACTCAGCTGTGTAATACTTGAAGTACACCGAGAATGCGCGCGATACAATCGATAAAAGCGTGACGCTTCGTGTAAAAATAAGCGGAACTATAATATTTCGCGCGGGATATAATATTTCGTCGCGCAAACGGGCGTGGTTCGCGTTCTTCAATTGACCAAGCAAACAATCACGCCCGCGTGCTCGTTCCGCGATTTCTCTGTCAGCTCTCGAAGACGTCATCCTCCATTTCCGCTTCCGAAAGAGGCGCCACCAGTCACGACGATCAGCCGGTCGATCGATCGATCAGCCGGCTCGCGTCAAGTTCAAGTCAATCCGGACGCGTGCGAGAAAGAACTCGCGCGTGGCATTCATGCGCAGCGCGCTCTCGTGAATCCGCCAATTGCTCGTGAAACGGGAAAATAAAACGACATAATGCGCCGGCGACATTGACTGGTCTGATTAATGGTGGTTTTCATGGCGTGCGAGCGCGTTCGCGCTACGCGAATTTGCGCGAGATCGTTGCGTCTCCCTCCTGCGTGCCAGTCGACGGTGGTGGGGGGCGGCAGCGAGCGCGCGATTGGCCCGCGCCGCGTTCGGCACTGCGGGAGAGGGTTATCCCTTCGCGCGATGGGGAGCGCGCGATCGAATTCACCCGTCGATCGTGCCGAATACCGTGCGACTTGGCGTTTGCCGGTGGCCGTGCTTCGTAATCCGCGACCGCGACGAGACCTCTCATCGGCTGTCGGTCTCTCTCCCCCCCGCCCTCTCTCTCTCTCTCTCTCTCTCTCGCCCTCTCATCGTTCTCTCGTCGCTTCGTCACCTCAGTCTCGTCCTTCGCGTTCGTCGACCTGTCGTCGACAGCGACGCTCTGACGCTAACGACGTCGACGGCGACGAGGACGACACCGCGGCTTCACGCTGCCGCAGGGCGCCCGCGCAACCCGGGAGCCGACGGGAGAGAGGAGGCCATAGCTCGCGCCTGCGAGAGACGCGACGCGGTAACGAGCAGCAGCAGCAGCAGCAGCAGCAGCGGAAAGCGCCGCCGGTGAGTCAGGCCAGCAAGGACGTCGGATGTGCCCCACTGAGGAGCTGCCGGCAGCAACGACAACGACGACGGCAGCAGGTGGGAGTAGCAGCGGCGCTCCTCGTAGTACCTGGCTTTGATGAGAGTAGGGAGCGTCGCGCAACATATCGCGCAACGTCGTGCAAAAGGATCGAACGCGCGCTGTCAGGCAACTCGCTCGCTCGCTCGCCTGCCAAGAAGCCGCCTCTCGCGATCGGTGAGTCATCGTTAGCCGCGCCAATCCCCGCCAACGAGTCGCAGCGATTCGCTGTCCTCCCCGCGAGCGAGGATGGATTCGCGGATCCAGGACGCGGCTGACAACGCACCGCTCAAGAGGGATCAGGACTCCGTCGACGACTTCGAGCATCTCGGCCACGACTCCGGCTCGCTGTCGGACGAGCGTACGGAGCAGCATCCGCAGCAGCATCTGCCGCCGCGACTGATCGACCCACCACGTGTCGACGACCTGCTGCACATCGGCGACTCCTTCCAGGCATCGGACAACGTGCTACCGAGCGCGCTCCTCGTCGACGGCAACGTCGACGCGAAGCCCGTGCCCGCGACACCGCCGCCTTCCGCGGACTTCGAGAAGTGCGAGGCCATGGCGCAGTCGTCGGACCCGTTCCAGCGGCCGCTGGACCCGGTCGATCCTAAGCTGGCCACCATGGCGTTCGTCGAGACCGAGCGGACGAGCGCGCACCAGCTGCTGCGCGACGAGCACGCCGATGACGACGAGGTGCAGCTAGAGTCGCCGCCGCCGCCGCCGCCGCCGCCGCTGTCGCTGTTGCCAACCTCCTTCACCGCGGCTGCCGAGCCTGCCGCGTCCCTGTCGGACGGCGATGCGGCTAAGCAGGCCAACTACGAGCTCGGTTTCGAGGAACACAGCAACGCCGTTGCCGATCAAGGCAAGTCGCAGCACGAGCAGCGCGAGGCCGTCCCGGTGAGCGGCGCCAACGACTTCGGCGAGGACCTCGTGCGTGACGTCAGGTCGTCGGTGTTGCCGGCGCCGGAGAGATCGCCGCTGCTGGACTTCCTCGGCGACGACGAGCGCGCGCCGAGCCAGCAGCAGGACAAGGTCAAGAATATCATGGACGACGACTCGTGGAACGTGGTGGAGGAGGCGGACGTGAAGCGCGAACAGCTGAAGGAGCCGGAGCCGCCGACGAAGCCGTTGCCGCCCTTGCCGAAGGAGGCGGAGCTGCTGGAGACGGCGCATCGCGACAAGTACGAGATGTCCAACGACTTCCTCCTCGAGGAAGCTGCCAAGGACAAGCCGCCGCCGCCACCGCCGCCGCACTCCGTCGTCGCCAGATCGGAGCCCGAGAACAACACGAAGCGCCGAGAGACGTCCAAATCCAAGGAACCCGACTACGTCTGTTCCCGGCCGCCCGTCAGCAAGACCAAGAAGGACGAGATCGAAATCGCGCCCAAAGAGATCTTCAGAGACATTGGACTCGGTGAGTGCTCGACCTTTTGCTTCCCGCTTGGATTTCCGCTGCGAACTTGCTGCGCTGAGAAGGTCAGCAAGCGCCGGTCGAGCGGTCGAAAAACGACAGGTCTCTTCTCGGGGAAGACGACCATTTTTTTATGGAATTAGTAATAATACATTTTTATCGAGTCAACAACAACAGTTGGGAGGAAATTTTGCAGAGGTTCTTCCTCTGTTTAACGGAAAGTGGAAAGTAGCGTGAGAGCGTCGTCCTGTAAATTTGCGGAATTTTTTCCGAGAAATCCCGAGGACCCTCGTCGCTCTTTTCTCGGCAGCGCGGAAATGTTCCAGCCGAACGCTGGCATTTTTTCCTCCATTTTTGCGGTGCGGCGGAGCGCCGCGCGCGCTTTCTTCCGGTTTCTCGTGCTTGTGGGATTCGAGGTTAGGTCCTCGCCGCGTTACGAGCGAGATTAACACCGATCCGCTTGTCCTTGTCCACTGGAGTCAGTTGAACCTTGACCCAAGCTCGAGTCCCGGGAAGTCCGAAGGGAATCAGGTTCAGAATTAAAGTTTCATCCTCGACTCTGGCGGAAACGCGCGCATCCGAGCACTGAGAAAGTGCGACGAGGACAGTGCGTAACGGCGTCCGCTCGCGACGCCGCGATTAATTAACGCGTCACGTCTAACGGCCGCGAGAGCCCGAAAGTCTCGGCCGAGGGAGAAGACGCTAATGAATTTAGCGGCGATGCACAAACTCGCGCGTGCTCCTCGCGAGCGCTTCCGCCTGGCTACAGCGAGCGCGCGCCATCCTCGGCGTGATACTTGTTCAATTATCTTTCCCGTGCCCTTCCCCTGCCCCCTAAAAATAGACACCCGTAGCGTGATCTGCGTATTTTCTTTTTTTTCTCGCTACGCGATGCCACGCTCTACTTAACTACTGAGGAAATAATGCATTCCGCGGGGCGCGTCGACGCGCGTCCAATCCCGCCGCGGCAACGGTAACGCCGCGTAACGTTCGAGTCGTTGTTCGTCCGTCCGGTCGTTTTACATGGGGATTAATAATAATGTCGCGAATCAATATCGGCGACGTCGCCGGCAGTCGGCGCGAAAACGCCGGTCCTCGCGCCGGAACCTCGCGCGCTTCCTTTTTTGCCGGCCAATACGACATTGCTGCCGACAATAGACGCGACGGAGAGACGCTCTTCGGAGAGAAAGGAAGACGAAGACGTCGGGAGATTCTTCCCGCGCGTGCAACATGAGCGACGTAGCCGGGGCTAGGCCAGGTTTAGCGGCGAATTTAGCACTGGAACTGGCCGGTGATTGACGAGTTATTTTCAGCCGAACGGCCGAAGGGGAATACTCGATCGGGAAAAATGATTGATAGCTGAGGAATGTCTGAAGTAGCGATTTTTGAAAATATTACACAGGATGTCCGGGATCTTCCGGAAACGCGAAATTGTGAAGATTTGGATCGAACTGAGATAGAAAAGTCCGGTATCGTTTTGCAAAAATCGCAATGGTTATTAAGTTATTAATGATTGAAAATGATCACATCTCTCAGAGGCTCTTTAATGTAATTGGTAACTTGAAAATTTGCGTACTTATCTGCAAAATGATAAAGGACTTTTTCGTTCAGAATGACCTAATCTACAATTATACGACAGGTTCAACATAATTGTAGATTAGGTCATTCTGAACAAAAAAGTCGTTTACTATTTTGCAAATAAGTAGACAAATTTTTAAGTCATCAATTAAAAGAACTTCTACATGTGGACATTCTCAATCATTAATAATTGAATCAAGAGGGCACCGTAGCTTTGGATAAACAGGCTCCAAGCCTGCTACACGAGAAGGAGGAAGAAGAAGAAGAACAATTTTTGCAAAATGGTACTTGACTTTTCTTTTCAGTTTAATCCGATTAATCTGCACAATTTTTCGTTTTCGAAAGATCCCGGACACCCTGTATATGTGAGGCAAGGAAGACGATGTTCGTTTATTTCTTTCTGGTTTCTGCTTAAAGGCCATCACACACAAATGAACGTAAGCAGTAAGACATAAGCAGTAAAGAAACTGACCAATCACAATCAATTATTCTCGTAAGTTTTAAAATGGCATCCTTAAATTTCGATTGTGATTGGTTGATTTGCTTACTGCTTACGTCTTACTGTTTAAGTTCGTTTGTGTGTGATGGCCTTAATTCTGAAAAAATAAGAAATCTACGAGGGAGAGAGAGGGAGAGAGAGAGACAGAGAGAGAGAGAGAGAGAGAGAGAGAGAGAGGGAGGAAAGTCTCTTGCGACGTTTAGAGACAGGAAATGCGCTGTTGCAGGTTCGAGTAATTTTTGCGAGAAATTTCAAGTTGGTAGTGTTGCAACGTTAAAGGGCGCGTTTCTTCTCACTTCGTCGCGTAATATTTGCCTCAACTTGACCGGCCGCCCCGTGCCATTCCGTACGGCTTGCATCATACAGCTAAAATCCCGCCATGCGTTATATCGATCCGTAGGAGACACCGTCGCCTGGTTCCCCCGTACGTTCCTTGCGTGCACCGTGAAAACTGAAAAGTGCGACGTGAAATGCGTCACGCTGCGCGTACGGGTTCTCCTCCGATAAAAGTACTCACTTTTTTTCCCTTTGCGTACGTTAAACCGCGCGCTTCGCGAGATCGTTCGTCCCGACGCGTCTCCTTTGTTCTGCTCCACGATATTTGGGGACAAAGATTTGTACGAAGTAACACCCGGTATAATATTCGATATTTCTGTTTTTGTTTTTTTTTTTCAAGTATGCAATTTACCAGAGAATTGCTCCATCAAAAAGACTCTTCGACTCGGAGAATGTTTCGACGAAAATCCACCGAGATGTTTCTCGTTTCGTTTTCAGTTGAAAAGCTCCCGCACAATCTGTGGAAAAGTTTTAGCTACACAATGGTGGTGGGGGTAGAGAAACAAACCGTGACTTTCCTCGTCTTTCTTCAAGGAAACATCGAGAGCCGTTCTCTATATTATTCTCTATATTATTAGCGAAGGAGACTCCAGTCGAAGCGACCTGCGAGTAGAATGTACACGAGTATTTTCTACGATTTTGTTTGAATTTCGTCAGCGCGAAACATTCGCTCTCGGCTCCCTCGCGAACGTACGCGCCATAATTCGTGGTATTAGTCATCGACTGTTATACGTAGCGCACTTACTCATACATTTACAATGGTTTATATCCCCGCGTAACGGCGGCTGCTTGGTGAATGAGTATTTTTATACGTGATTCACGCCGCAGAACCGCGTATTTTCTCCTCGTTGTACAGGGAGCGTCGATGCTCACCATACGCATATCACGGAAACACACGATTGCGTGTGTAAAGAAGATACAGTCGAGTACAGTCAAGCACGAAAAGAGAGAGACAGATAGAGAGAGAGAGAGAGAGAGAGAGAGAGAGAGAGAGAGAGAGAGAGAGAGAGGGAGGGAGGGAGGGAGGGAGGGAGGGAGGGAGGGAGAGAGCGAAGTGTTAACACTCGAAACCAGAGTCACACTGCAAAGCAAAACGGTTTCGACAGTTTTTTTTTTTTTTTTTACAAACGTTAGTAACTAGTCTAGTTGTAAAATTTGAGAATCATTGCTCAAGGACTTGCGCAAGAGAGGGAGAGAGAGAAACCCGCGATCTTTTGGCTTGCGCAGTTTGGCTGAGCAGTGATTCTCAAATTCACAACGGATTACCAATGTCGCTAGAAAAAAAAACTGTCGAAACCGTTTTGCTTTCCAGTGCAAACCGATCTTCTCAAGGCCTGATGCTTCCGAGGAATTTCCAAGTGACTTGAAAAATCATTCGTTTGCAGGCACATCAGTCCCGATCTACAATAAGTGTTTCCCGATCTACAATAAGCCCTAAGTTTTCAAAAAATGATCAATCACAGTCGAATATGAGGAGAATAATCGATTGCGATTGGTCAATTTCTTAAAACTTAGAACTTAAAACACCTATCGTGGATTGAGACTTAAGCTGGGTCTATGATTGGTGTAGCAAGCTTTAAGCCGTAAGAGATGGACCAGTCACAATTGATTATTCTTCTCACGTCCGACTGTGGTTGGTCAGTTTCTTACGGCTCGAAGCTTATTATACCTATTGTGGACCCGACCTCAGTCATTTGGTTGTCACTAAAGCCCGTATCAGACTGGATGGATTGGGATTGAGATTGGATTGAAATTTGAAAATCAATTGGAGAAAAGAAAATAATCTCAAATATATTAAACTTAGCCCTGATTAGTTAAATTTCAATCCAATACTCAATTCCAATTCGTATAGTCTGATATGGGCTTAAAAAAGCCCGTGAAAATATAAAAGGCATTTACATTAAAGAACATTTATACCAAAAATACCAACGTGAATATCAAGCAATTTAATCCGTACGAATTTTCAATGTCTCTAACAAGGTTCTGAAGCTTAAGCCTTGTTAGCTTCCCGGTAGATTTGTCGAGCACGGATTTTCAGCTAGAAGAGCTAGAAAGTAGATGAACTTCGCGGTCTTTAGATTTTCAAGTGCATCCTACTTTATAAGACTACACTGAGAAAAAATTGTATCAAAAATTAAACAAATATTTGTTCGAACACGACTGTGAATACATTTACTTAAATTAAGCAATTATTTTCTAAAATTCAAGAAAAAATTTTACATTCTGAGAACCTCTGTATTTCATTTTATAAATTAGTCGCTTAGTTTGAATAAAATGTATTCACAGTCGTATTCGAACAAATATTTGTTTAACTTTAATACAATTTTTTCTCAGTGTATACACAATTTTCTGCTTTCTCTTTGCGTTTGTTTGCGTTATTTGCGCTTTTGACACTTTTCTAACCTAATGCCTGTCGCACACCGAGCGCGATGAACAATAACCAATGAGAGCTCTTGTTTCTAACGAGAGGCCGGCGTGCAACGGGCGTGAGGTGTAAAGGTGCCAAAAGTGCAAGCAGACAGACCTTCTAATTGGAATGTATTATTTACAAAAAAATGATATATTTAATAACAATAATCCTACGCTACAC